ACTCTCGCCAGGACTCACTCACTCACGTCAAGAAAATAGGGTGTAACCTCAAGAATAAAGGAAATAATAGTTCCCAAGTTTGGAACATACAGATACATTCATTTCAATCTCAAACATCCATCCAATCCCAAATATATCGAAAGATTTAAGTTTTCAATACATTCAACCCTAATTGAGCGACTAGTGCTAGTACAATCGCAAAATTTCAAAAAAACTAGATTATACTAGCATGTACCAGTCCCACACCTCGCTCATATCCCCTGTAAGGAAAACAAATGGCGTGGAATAAGTTAAAACCCCAGCGAGCTTCCCAAACAAGTAATCAGGTATAAAAATCAAGGAAACGTTACATTTAACAAGTTGCATATTTTGCACAGTAATATCCAATCATTCAAGAAATAAACACTCAATCATTGAAAGGATACGTGCTCACTTGGAGCCATTCATTCAAGTCAATCATTCATTCATTCGCCAATCATTTTCCTTATCCCTTCGACATTAGAAAACATTTGCAAGTGAAAATTCCTCCAGTTTATTAACATTCATTCATTACCGCCCGACCGAATCCGCTTCTGGCTCGAGTAGGCTGGCAACGAAGGGTAAGAGCCTAGTTCAGCCGAGAGGCTTACATTCATGCACAAATAGCATTCAATCATTTAATCATTGAAAATTTCACGTTAACTTAGGTCGAGTGCGATAAAGTATACACTCGCCTATTGAAAATTCATTTAACAATCATTGAAAACATTTAACATTCAAGCAAATATTCACAACAATCTACATAGGCATTAGAAGTACAACATACAAAGAATACTCACCAGTCTAAGTCAAAATAACGTCAAAAGTTTCCTTCTGGATTATACCCTTGATCATCGACAAACCCTAAGAATAACCAATCCCAAATTAAAGTGAACAAATGTAATTTAAGATCCAACTAACCTTAAAAATCAAATCTTACATCTTACTAATATTCATAAGGGCAAGTAATAGAAATTTGGGCAGCATGCCCTTTTGTATTTAGCTATTTTCAGCCATTTATGACTTCATTATTTTCCTCAACTCAATCCAAATTCACACATAAACAATCTTAACACAATAGCCCTTCACTAGGCTGAATGTCATCCCAATACAAGGCAATTCTAGCAATGCAACTATCAAAATCAAAGTTGGAAACTAGTATTAAAGAAGAATGTCTAAGTAGCAGGTTTGACATCTTCCACCATTTTGGTCACAACTAAAGCTACGCTTATCAGATTGGGGTAAATTTTATGGAGTTTCGAAGCTAAGACAGAGACCTACATTTCCTATGAAAACATCGACACCCAGTTCCTGCATTTTCAAGGTCAAAATGTGAAATCTCAGAGAAAATAGAAAGCTGTCCGTTAAACAGGCATTTGGGCAGTTAGGGGTATTTTAGTCATTTCATATGTTACAGTGCTCCGATTGAGCTGAAAATTTACAAGGAACTAGTTCACTCAATTTCCTACAACTTTCATGTTTTGATCCAAACCTAATTTGGCCTTTATCATGGATGAATATGCAGATCAGTTCGGCTCAAAAAACAAGGCAGAATCACTATAATTGCTGAAATTGAACTTTTACTCTAGAAATTCATATCCAAACACTTCACCACATTCATTTCCTAGCTCAATACCATAAATTATGAGTTAAACAAAGATAATCAAGGCTGAAAATTGCAAACCCTAGCTAAACATTCCACTATACCATCACAACTGGGAATTCAACCATCAAAATCCAATATTAAGAACTTCTATCCCCAACTTTAGCAAAATTAACAAAAGTAAAGCAAGTTCAAGCATTATACCTTCCCAAAGCCCCTTGTAAGTGAGAAACAAACCATTTTTTTCCCAAATTTTCAGCACCTCAAGTCTTCCAATCACCAAGAAGTAAGTTTAATCGGTTTGGTTTTATTGATTTCACTCAAACAAGCTTGATTCAAGGGTTGAAGTTGCAAGCTTTCTTCCTCTATTTTTTCTCCTAAACTCACGACCAATACCAGCAAGAAATGAAGAAAAATCAGCCAAGAAGAAAGATAAGAAGGAAGGAAAATTTACTTGGTCAAAACCTCTAGGTTTCCAACAAGTGTCACCATAAGATTCCATCTCATTTTTTTTGTTTTCTTTCCTTTTCCTTAGTCAAAATTTTCGGCTGGTTTGGAGGATATTTTAGGGGTGATTAGCTGAAATAAAAGTAAGAAAATTAAGGTAATAAAGTAGTGTTCAAGTGGTGCACTCAATCGATAGCAAACGGTGCACGTCGGTTCAAGCTGATTTTTCTTAACTCACGCGTACTAGAGTTTTCACTTATGATTCACTCACTTATTATTAACACTTCTAATCACACATTTTTTCTTATCTAATACTCATTCTTATTCACCAAATTTAGCACACATACCTCACCAAGTGATTGCACTATCAAAATGCACCAAAACACACCAAAAACCCTAGTATGTACAAAAAACCCTAACTTATGCCATTATTTTAGAAAAATCATAACTTGAGTTATAACTATCAAAAATTCATACAACTTGGCCTGTTAAAAACTAGACTTTAAATACTAATAATCTTTAGAAAACACCTCAAAGAGATTCAATTCATAAGTTGGTCCAAATTGAGCCATAAGCTACTACAACATTCCTATGTTTACTTGTGCATGGCAGAATTTTCAGTCAACTTTGCTAATTTCCTAGAATTTATGGAGATTGAATCAAACTCTAAATTTTACATTGTAGGAAGCCCTATGAGTCTAGTTTCAAATGCGACAAACGGAACTCAATTCTGACTTTCCTATACGAAGTTATAGGCAATTTCTCAAAGCTGCGCAGAGCCTCCTGCGAAAATTTCTAGATTTTCTAACAACTTCAGATTATGAAACTTTTCTTAACAAAATTTACTCCTATGGCTCAAATTCAACCATTAAAACAACCAAGAATCTAAGGCAAGTAAGTTCAAATAAGAACTATAAAGACAAGTAAAATTTCGGGGTCTCATATAGTGCAAGAATACCTTCATCGGTAGTCAAGGCACAGAGTTATGAAGCAGACTTGTGCTAAGCTGAAGAAAAGATCTAAAGTCAGTAAACACAGATTTTTTGATCAATAAGGAAATGAGTAGGATGAAACATCATAATGGTATCAGAAGATACTAAAGAAAAAATTATGGAACAAGTAACATTGGAGCATCTGGCGTCTTAGGTGTTTAATTCGGAAAATTTGGTAAGAAGATTTTCATCCAATCTGGGGGGCAAAGCATATAAGAGAGGTTGCATGAAGACCATGTATATGTCTTATAAGTAAATAAAGACCAATCTAGAACAGAAGCAACTTGGAAGAGAATTTGGTAAACAAGAAAATGCAGTGGCCGATAGCTAGCTAAAGTTGAGCATCAGTTTGTAATAAAAAGTCCCATGTGTCCTTTTTCAGATACACAACGTATATATTAAGCAGCTAGATAGCAGAGTGTGCAGCATAAATTTGAAAAAGTATTTGAGTTTAGATGATGCATATCTATTGATATTGATATTGAGATCACAATTATCTATGTATGTGTAATAACCTGTACTTGTTGATACACACATGTTTATATATCCTAACATATATAAAAGTAAGACTTATCTATAATCACACTTATCTATGTACTTATATCTATGTACTTATTGATACACAAATAAACATACACATAAATCCTGTCTGAATTAGTTATTTTTAGGGTGTTTTTGAGAAATTTTGTTGAGATATTTTTAGAAAGTATTTAAGAATAGAAGAGTTTATAGAATATGTTTTGGAATATTTTTTAAAAATTTAAACTAATTTTTAGATTATCTTTTAGAATATTTTTTAGGATTATTATTATATATACAAAAAATAATATAGAAGAGTTTTTAGAACATTGTAAAAGTCAAACTTATCTATAATCGCAATTACCTTTGTAGTTATTGATACACAGATAGACATACATATGGATCCCGTTTGAATTAGCTATTTTAGAAAGTGTTTTAAAAAAATTTTTGTAGGATATTTTTAGAAAATATTTAAGAATAGAAGAGTTTGTACAACCTATTTTGAAATATGTTTTAAAATGTTAAAAAATTTATACTAATTTTTAGATTATCTTTTAGACTATTTTTTAAGAATTTTTATTGTATATACAAATAATAATGATATATATGGAGCCGAAAAAGTATAGAGAAGAATTGTAGACAAAATATCTTTTGTTTGAAAAAAAGTCTGCATAACCGGTACTTCTTGTAGCATATTCACCTATATATATCCTAACATATATAAAAGTAAGACTTATCTATAATCACACTTATCTATGTACTTATATATCTATGTATACTCATTGATACACAGATAAACATACATATAAATCCTGTTTGAATTAGTTATTTTTAGGGGTGTTTTTGAGAAATTTTGTTGAGATATTTTTAGAAAGTATTTAAGAATAGAAGAGTTTGTAGAATATATTTTGAAAGATTTTTTAAAATTTTAAAAAAATTTAAACTAATTTTTAGATTACCTTTTAGAATATTTTTTAGGGATTTTTATTGTATATAAAAAAATAATATAGAAGAGTTTTTAGAATATTATAAAAGTCAGAGTTATCTATAATTGCAATTATCTATGTACTTATTGATACACAGATAGACATACATATGGATTCCGTTTGAATTAGCTATTTTTGAAAGTGTTTTTAAGAAATTTTGGTAGGATATTTTTAGAAAGTATTTAAGAATAGAATAGTTTCTACAACATATTAAAAAATTTAAACTAATTTTTAGATTATCTTTTAGACTACTTTTTAAGAATTTTTATTGTATTTACAAATAATAACAATATATATGGAGGCGAAAAAATAAAGAAAAGAACTGTAGACAAAATATTTTTTGTTTGAAAAAAAAAATCTGTATAACCAGTACTTCTTATAGCGTATTCATCTAGATATATATATATATATATATAATATTATAAGAAATCAAAATATAGAAAAAGTATACATCCTTGCTAATAAAGATGTATCTTGTATTTTCAGCAGATTAGCAGAGAACACAATCCATGACGTAAAGTTTCAAGCAAAGGTGGATCATGGATGTGCACTCCAACGTCCAAAAGTTTTAAGCAAAGAAAGCTAGTGGAAAGTACAAACAGCACCAACTCGGAAGTACAACATGTTGAAGCAGACCCAATGCACTTGAAAGTACAATCCATCTAAAAGCGAACCCCACGAGCATCAGGACAAAAAACAATCCAAATTCGCGGCTGTTCAATGCCCGTTTCAATGAATGTACAAGAGTTTAAAGCAAGGAGCAGCAGCCGAAAGTACAACCCATGCAAGCAGACTTGCACTTGAAAGTGGCCCCACTGTAGAAACACAAAAAGTGCTTCTTGTGTATACGTAAGGATATTGAAGTTTTCTTGTGTGGAATGTGACGTATATCGGAAAGAGAACTGCACAAGCATTAAAGCCAGAATATTAGAAACATCAAATACACACACACTGATATATATCTTAGAAATTTGAAGAATTGTCCAACAGATCTTGATCAAATTGAAGTTCTTGTGTACAAACAGGGACTAATGATTAGTATGCAGGTTTCATAAAAATAAGCATAATCAGAGACTCGAAAAACTAGGCTAACTAAAGCTGATCATTTACAACTTCAGAAGGCCAACAGTTGTGCAGTGTCTTTTCAATTATAGGAACAGCAGAGCTTTGGAATCTGATTTGGCCTGTGATGCTGTACCTAATTATGCTAGGACCAACTCTGCAGAGAGACTGCCAAATCCACATAGTCTCCATCTATATTGATACTTAAACGAATCATCCTGTGTTCGATAAGTTAATGTGACCATATCTGGGTATTATCTATCACTGGAATTTGCATGAATTATCCCATTTGGACCAACTTAATGTGAACATATATCCCTGTATTCTCAGTCCCCTCCCTCCCTCCCACCCTCCCAAATCCGAGAAAGGGAGGTCTAAATCCAGATAGTGGAAAAAGTAAGGAGGTCAAAAATACAAAAACACATGACAACATTTTCTAAATCTATGTAGTTGGAAAGAAGAGAACATACTGACGCCTTTGCGGAGACCCTGATTTGTTTTATCAAAGGCTGCTTTTGTCATCATTCTTAATGCGGATGTTAAAGCCCCTGAGGCAGCTAGACCAGCAAAGAATGACTGCAAGGTAATTCCAAGAACAACGAATGATAGTTAACTTCATGAACATGTTTAGTAGAAAGGTAGAAGGAACTTGGTATGCAGCAATCTTTTACTTGGATGAACTCGGGACACATGAGGGAGAGATCTCCAACCATTCCACCTTCAATATGGGCATCTGCTGTGCCAAAAACAGCAACAATGATGCATATACCAATGTAATTTCCGATTCCTCTTTTCCTGAGGTGGCTAATCTTAGCTGCCAAAAGTGAAAACATTTAAAGCCAGGATTAAAGAGAAATAGCTGAGAAAAAGAAACGTGAAATAAGAACTGCAATTTTTGCAAAATGGCAAACTTACAATAAGGAGGGCGAATGTGCTCAGGAAGAAAAGAGTAAACCCGGCCAAGTTACGCTTCCTTGTATCAATCTTAGCTTCTTTATATGCAAGTATTGCAATCGTTCCAAGGGCAAATGGTTCATAAACAAGGGTAAGTACCCTTGCAGGATGATACCGCTGAAAATAAGGGAAAAGAATAGTAAAATAAGAAAATCAGATAGCAGTAGTAATTTTCAGCCTCCAGTGGCCATTTTTCCGTTCACGGGAGAATCAGTCATAGAAAATAAACACGGGAAAGTTTCATGATAATAGTGGCCATTTTTGTATTCATGTGTTCCTTGGAGAAGTTGAAAGGTCTCTGCAACTTTTAGGGCTCAATGGTTCATTAAGAAAGTTCGATCTGATCTACCCATAAACACAGTCCTCTGAAAGGCAAGGCCAGCTTTGAAAATTAAAAGGCCGAGAAATTGCAGAAACATATATCAATTTGCTCAAGGAAGAAACCATGAATTCATCTCATAATCAAACCACGAATTTATATAGAATGATTCGAAAAAAAAACAATGCCGGAGATACTACTTACCGGGAATAATGCATAATAATAGTCTCCAACGGTCAGCATAGTATTCCAAGCAACAAGGGTTCCCAATCCAAGAACCCAACACACCACAATTGCAGTCAACTTCCCCTGAAATTAAAGCCAAATTTCAAGAAAATTGGCACTCTGAGAAAACATAATAAAATCTCAATGCCTGTTAAAAAAAATGCCGACGAAGAAGAAGTAGATTAAGAGAACAAACCTCGAGCCTGGCAGGCGTTGGAGAGCCGTTCATATCCGCCATTGTTATGGCTGCTCTACTGCAGACGGTAACTTGATAACTTCAGTGTTTTTTTCTGACAATTTTTATATTAAATAAAAACCATTGTCATGGAAGTATTGGGATTCTAAAATATTCAAGGAAACAGACACATCCATCGCATAAAACACGAAATCGCTTTCTTAAGACACTTTCACCACAAAGGGATATCGGTGTCCTTACACCAGACAAAAACAATCAGCAAACAAAACTGACAAAAATAGTAACCAAAACCCATGAAAGAACTGACAATGCATGAAGTTTTGTCACCTGAAAGCTTACGAAGAGAGCCAGAAGATGGTCAGCTGAGATTGCCTGCCTTTTGAGACTTGAGAGGAGAATGATGATGGCACACTATTTATCTTCTTCTCTCTATTGTATTGACTGCTGAGTATGAAAAGGGAATACAGTACACACGGAAATAATCGATCCTGTTGCGTTGGAACATGTTTATTAGCAACTGGAGGAATCTACAATTTATATTATTATAAATATAAGTTAATTTGTGCCTACCATTGTATGCACAGAAAGAAAAATTACGCACCAAATTTATTTGGAGGAATCTACAATTATGATGCTTAACTAAGCCTTTTTTAAGTACAAGAGTGAAAGGGTTAGTGTAAGTGCTTACTGAAAATTCTATGACAGTAATGTAAAAGAATAAGGATTTAACTTTTCAACGCCGTAGTCTAAGATATGATGTAAGTGCTTACTGAAAATTCTATGGCAGTATTTTCCCTTTCTCTGCAGTATATTTTTTCTTAAGATGGAGGAAGTTGAACTTGTATTTGAGATACGTATTAGAAGTGTCCAAGAAGAGTTATTGTTCACGCAAGGGAGTAAATCATCAGCGAACCAAAGTATTCTGCCCAATTTGGAATTAGATGGGAATTTCTCTATAGTGGTGTAATTGCACACAAGAGTCATTAGAATCACCTAACTTGTAGAGTTCAAAGTACTCTGCCATCCACTTTGCTTTTTTCCACTACAAGATTTAGAGTCTTTTTAAAACTAATTAAAAACAAATCACGCTTAGATTACTAATTAGTTTACATTATCGATACTAATATTCAACTCCTCAAGGCTCTACGTAACCTCTGTATATCAAGCGTTTAACTCTTATGTGTCTAAGTTGAACTATTTGGGCCCTTAAAACTCAAATTATTAAGGCCTTCATATCTGACCAACTCAGTTAACAGAGAATTACCAGCTCCTTAGAGGGGATCAGATGGCCTTGCCCAACTGGGCCTAGTGACACTTTCTCCTGCGGACCTGTGGTGGGACAAATTTTCTGTTGCTTTTTTCCTCTGCAGTTTGTTAGCGGAGAATGGGGCCATGTCCTGTCTTTCTGCTGTTTATTCTTTTTCGAGGGGAAGGCCCATGACCACTTGTTTTAGCGAGAGTATGTAATGGGGGCCATTAGGCCCATTTTCGTTCTAATTATATTTTGTTTGGCCGGAGAAGAGCTGTTGTTATTGTTAATAAGAGCAAAACTAGAGCAAAATTCCATTGAAGAGCTAAAATTTCCAAATGTTCTATTTGAAAAAGTTACTAGCACTTTTTTCTTCAAATTAATTTAACCAATAATAGGTCATAAAATTGATTCTCTATATGATGATGAAAAACAAATGAGGCTTGCAGAACCCGTTCATTTAGGTTTGCCACTTTATTGCAATTCATTTTGAGCTTATAAATTGTCCCCTCTAAATTATGAAAAGATATTCATGACTTTAAACACTTATTCTTTTGATAGTTTTGACCTTTTGGCAACCAAAAACGAAATTCATATCAAATTCAACCCTTTGGCTCCAAAATTATGTTCATTTTTTACGAAGAATTTTTGTATTAACAGGGATAGAACCTTATGAACGATACAGTTAGATGCCAAAAACAGCTTATAGTTCTTTTTTTTTTTGGAGACGTAAAGGGAAAAAAAGAAGGAAAGAGAAGGAAAAACTAAAAGAAACATTTTCCAGTTAAAATTTTAATATTTTGTAAATTTTGAGTTTTATTTTTTTTCAATGAATTTTCATGCTTTTTCTTGAGTTTTGAGTATGAGGAAGAAATAGACAATTTTTTGTTAAGATTAAAACTAGATGCTTTATTTTTTTAACCCAAAAAACTATAAGCTATTTTTCACATTTAACTTAATCATTCGTGAAACTTTACCTCTGTTGATATAACAGTTTTTCTGTAAATGAAAAGGTAGTACATCATTTTGGAGCCAAAATGTTAAATTTGATATAGAAATTTAGTTTTTTTTTGTGTGTTAAAAGGTTAAAATTGTCAAAAAAAAAAGTGCATAAGGGCATCGCTATCTTTTCATAATTTAGAGTGGATATTTTGTGTAATTCGCGAACACAGAGGGTAATTTACTACTAAAATAACATTAGAGGGAGGTATTTGAGGATGAAACCTATGTTAAATTCACTCATCTTTTGTACTGTCAAATACTCCCTCCCTTTTTGTATAACTGACGTTTAAGAAATTTGCTCTAATGTACTTTTATCTGTCGTTTTATTATCCCCATACAATATTAATTATTTTTTCACAATTTTACCATTTTATCTCTCTTTTCCAATAAAGGGTTCTTAATTACTACTCTAGTTTGGTGGAAGTTAGTTTGCATTGCTTTTGGTCTAGTAAAACAGCACCATTTAGTACTCTAATGAGAGAAAATATGGGTGAATTGGATAATTAATGAGGGTACAAAAAGAAAGTAGTGTACAGATTTAAGCAATGAAAAATTTTTCTTAATTGGTGTGCAAAACCTTAAACGTCAGTTATAAAAAAAGGGAGGGAGTACTTAGGAACATTATTAACATATCTAGTCTATTGGGGAATGTCATTGTTCTCAATTGGGTTGTGATTGCTGATGTGGTGCGCTGCTATTGGTTGATTGGTGGTCGTCCGCCTGTGCGAATTTTCAATTGATGGTCGTCCGTTCCCACGCGTGAATTCTTTTCTGAATAAACATGTGGTGGGTAGACTTCCTCTCTCCGTAACAGCTTTTTTTGGTGGGATTTGACAGGGGTTGGGCTCGATGCATCAAAAGTCCCCTTTTTCCCTCTTTGTTCATCGACCGTCACTTTCTCAAACTCTTAGAACAACTCTCTCTCTCTTTTTTCATCTTCCACCTGAGAGCAACAATAACCAAGATGGTTTTCTTCATCTTCGAAGCTCTCCCTTCTTCTTAGAGAGGCTCTTTGTTTTAAAGTTCTTCTCTCCCTGCCAAACTTTAATGGTTGTCAGGGAGAGGCTATTTGGCAGGGAGAGAAGAACTTGCAGGTGAAATATTACAAATTTAGCAGGGAGGCTATTTAGCATGTTGTTAGCAGGGAGAGGCTATTTGTAATGGTTGTCATCATGAAGCATGTTGTTGGTAATGTGGCTTTGGCAGAAATTACGCTTCTTCTTTCTTGATCTTGCCACCGAAGCTCTGTTCTATCTTCTACTGTCAACTTCTCCATGATTTCTTGTCTTCTTTCCCGGGATCAACCTGATTCTACTGATGAGACTGGTTCATTTCCCTGTTTCTCCTTCTTTCTTGCTATTTCGTACAATTTTTACCAAAACTATTTTCCCCCTGTGGTTGCTGCTAAAGCGGTGAAGCAGTGATTTGGTAATGTGGTCGTTGGGCTCCTAGCCCCGTTGATATTACCATTTTATCTCTTCTATTCCTCTTTGTTTCTTGCTTCTTCCTCTGTTGTCAGAGAGTAAGTGAGCTGGGGGGATTGGTTGTACCTTTGTAGAGCACCGATTGTGGTCAATCTTCTTTGTCATTCATTTTCTTTTCCTTTTGTTTTTCCTTTCCTTTTTCCACACCACACGATTTTTCTTTTGGGCGATGGGTTTACTCTTATCTTTTGAGCTTCCGTACATTCGCTCCCTCATTTTTTTTTCCTCTCTTCTGTCTCTCCTCTTCAGAAACTGGTGCTTCATTACAAAACCTCAAATCAGCTGAAATACAAGCCGAAAAGAAGATAAGCCTAAATCCATGGAAGCTCATAACATTAACAAAGATTTCACAGTAGGATGCATACTCTCCATCAAGACCCCTCTTGGAGAAGAATTTCAAGGCCAAGTCTTGACCTTTGACCGCTCATCCAACATACTTGTTCTTAATATCCTTCTCCTCCTGTTTTATCAAGATTTTCCCTTAAAAAGTTTCATTTTTTCTTTTCAGTATTTTCGCATGCATTTATAGTATTTATTATGAATTGGTAATTTTTCTTGTGGGTTTTGAAATTCTTTAACTTTGGATTTGAAAAATACAAGAAGGAATAAATTCAGGGCCAGGGCCAAACAGGAATATTAGGCTATTGAAAGCCAATTACATCAAGAAGTTTACTTTTTTGGGTCAAGGTGAAGACCCTCTTGGTCTCAAGAAATGTTTTTATTGATCTTAATAATCTTCAAGCCAGAGAAGACTCTGCCATTACGTATTTCGAATTATTTTTTTTAATTACTGAACAAGTTCTGGTTTTGGACTATTTTGTGATTATTATGGTTGATTTTATAAGTGGCATTTTTCAGGCAAGCTGAGTTGGAGGCTGAAAGATTTAGGATTGCTGTTACAGCTGAAGCTCGGAGCATTTTTTATGCTCTGTCCAAAACGTAAGGTTTTTATGTTTGTCATTTCTTTATTGCTGTTTCTTGATCTTCTATTACCGGTTTGACTTTCTCAATATGATTTTTTAGTATATTTTATGAATTTTGTTCTTTCCTCTTATATTGGTTGAAAATATTAATTCTTTGCAGTCTTGACTTATTATTTCTATTTTGTGATAAATAAGTTCTGGTGATGCAAAAAGCAGATTTTTGCATGAACTAGATGGCATGTTATTTCAAGAATTAACTGTGGTTATACAGCTCCAAGTGTCTATCGTCATAAAGAAATCTTTACTAATCAAAATAATTGTTTCCAGTAAAAGATCATAGATGTTGAGTAGATGGTATTGCTTCCATTTAAAGGTACTATCAGGTTTGAGATTCTTAATTTCATAAAGTTCATTGGGCTATTTGAATAGCTTAGCCTTGAGCATCAGATGCATCAAACAACTCCATTTCAGAAGTAGTGTTAGATGCAGAATTGGAGAGCAAAACTGCTGAACAATCTTATTCCTGTGCGGAATCTCCTTTTTAATTCTTCAAGTGCCATTGTGCACTATATGAATGTTGTACGCAAAACAAATCCATCCATGTTGTCTAAATTCACGAGAAGACTAACATATTTCTTCTTGCTACCTTCTTGCCAACACCACTAAGGGAGACGTCAGAAGATGATTAAAGCTTTTTTTAGTGAAGCTGAAAGAAAAAAGTCAAAAATATGTACTGATATAATAGCTGTTACATGATTCTAGAAAATGCAGCATTTAAACTAAGATCATGTGTACGAAATATTATCAGTTTATTTTGCCATGGGAGATTATTATATTGGGGAACATAGCAACCTTACTGACAAAACAAGGGAGAGTTGTTCTTGCAATTCTTTAGCTATACTGTTTTGATTCCACTGCAGTTATTCTTCATGCTTATTTAGGAGCTTTTCTGGGGAGTATAAACAATCAAGTTTCCTGAATCAGAACTTCTGTATTATATCCTAATTTCCTGTCCTTTATTGCATAGGGTTTGCCACAAGCTTTGTTAAGCAGAATTGGATTTCTAAAGGAAATGCTTTTTCTTCCAACTCTTAATACGGGAGACGAGAAAGTGATTGCTGGTATTGCTTGCTTGATGTTAGAAATTGGTCAGACAGTAAGTGTTCGAAGTTCTCCATTCAATAGGAGTTTTCCTTCTTCATGGCTTGCTTCTTATAGAATCTTGATTCCAATTTAGATTTCATAAAATCATAGAGTGGTACTAATGCTCGTCTGATGTGGCCTAAACTGGTTTTTTCTGATATGATGTATCCTAGGCACCATCTTTGATTTTGAAAGCAAGTCTTGAGGCAGTAATACTCATGGATGCTCTGTTGAGGTTAGATCTTGAACATTTGACAATGATGTGCTTAAGGAGATAACGTGTATCATAGCCAGAGGTGTGTGGGGTCGTATTGGTTCCTCATACTAAAACGTATAAATATCTCGTGATTTCAAATTTTATTGTCTTTAAATATATATTTGATATTATGCATTATTTATTTGAAAAAATGGATTTCTGTAAATTTAAGTTATTTGTGAAGATATTACCCTGTGCTTTATCATGCTCGCAAATTTTACGCTTGGAACAAGTACCAACTATGAAGTTCTTAATTAGACGCTGTGGAAAGATTAATAATTGTACTTTCAATCTATTTTCCAAAGGAGAAAGCCAAAGAAGAAATTTAGTCAATGCTCACCGAGATATAGTGCCCGACATCTTCCAATCATAGCAACCGCCATTAGCATCGTCTCTTATTTTTTCCAATCATAGTCAATGGATTGTAGGAATGAAAAGATTAACCTCTAAGTGAAACTTCATGTATAGGGGAATATCTGACTGTTTTGCTAGCAATACAAAATAAAAAACAATTGGTTGCGGCCAGATTATCTTTGCATTTTGTCCCTTGGTAAGTGTTTAGTTGTAAAACAAGACATATTGTACTAATGTTGGAATCTTATTGAGTTTGTGTAAGTGTGACTAAATATAATGTATATTGATGATATCTTGGCAATGAATACTCTTTCTCAACTCTTTTTGATGCTCCTTTTGTTCCCATCATGATTCTGTTGTTTGGTGATTTCTCAAATCATTTTCTTGGTTTTGTTCTTGTTCTAGCTTTTATTTGTTTAAGCTATCATGGGACATCTTTTTTTATTTTAACCCTTTTGATCATTTTTTCCTCATGCTAGATGGCTACCAAAGCACATAGAAATATGGTAATTTCTTCCTGACAAAGAAGAAAATGGTTGACTTAAGATATGCATGTTAGTAACTGTACTTCTTACTACAATTTAATTTGTTTGATTGAAGCGTTTATAAGGTTCCTAAGCAAGACACAGAGAGCATCATCCAGAAAGCTAATTCTTTTGACTTTTGAATCTTTGAATACCTGTGCATCATGGCTATGGTAAAAACTGGGTTCTAAATTTCTTTTTTGCTTTTCAAAATAGAAGAAAATTGTGCCCAAGATAAAGGTGCAAAGGTGCAACGGTTTATGCATAGGCGGTCTACTATGAGAGAGAGGTAGCCAACTATTTCACACTTTTGAATAGCATTTTATAGCTCAAGTAAGTGAAATTAAATTCTTGGCTTCTTGTTTTCGTAGTTTTGTATTAAAAAGTTTGATTATGCCCACAATGTGCTGCTTGCTTTAGTAAGATGTTTGGTGTGCTATGTAATTAAGTTTCTTAATCATTGACTTTAAAAATTTGGCTACTAAAATAAGCACAAAAATTTCTATGGTAGATTTAATATAAATTGGGAACCTAAGTGGCGTGCCACTTTTGCTGTTTCATTGGAGCACAAGGACTTGACAATTTACGAAGTGGTTTAACTAATTAAATAGCTGAAATGGTTTAAAAAATGTCTTTTTCAAAAAGGTGAAACATATTTAAATTGTAGCACTAAAGAAGTTGTCATTTTCTTTTTTTATACAGTATGTATTATACAAAGTTTTTTTTGCTTTCTTCTTTTCTCGAATTCAAGTAAGAACTTATATACAACCCATAAGTAATGACAAAAAGGTGCAAAATATTGGCTGATTGTTATCTTGTCCTTTTTTTGGGAGCACAAGTAGGAATGCAAAATTTCGTTTAAATCCATTTGACAAGTGTGCAGTTTCAAACCTTTAAACTGAGATATACAATTTTTATACTTAGTCTAACTCAACCAAATAAATAGTTGTGTATCTGCTTGGTGACTTTAAGTGTAGAGATGCTTTTATTATATTTGATGAAACAGGAATATGAAGCCTCCTTGCTGAGTTCTTACTTTATGTTATTTAAATAGTCAAAATTAGTTCAAAAAATAATATTTGCAAGTCTTCTATTCTACAAGTTCCTATATTCATTTCTTGATGTCTCTACCTTTTATGAATTCCAAAGAAATCGAACTTCTTTCGGCTTTTGGTGATTTTAATTCCAAGATTCAAAAATAGTTTTGAATAAGTTTCAACTGTTGCAGGTAAACAAGATTAAAGTGATAAATTAAAGTGATATTTTGGCCTCAAATGCCATTTTGAAAGGTATTAATACCTTTCTTTGTTGTTATCATGTGCCCAAAATATTTCCATTATATATCTATTTCATTTGCTTTATCATATCTCATTTGTTATGTCAATAAGGTTTTAAACTTGAGATAACGACTTGTTATCTTATCACAGACTGGAAGCATATGCAGTTTTTCACTCCCGATTGTGTTTGAGTCTTGTATCTCTTACTATTTACATTAAAAAAAGGAGCCTTCATGGGTGTTAGTAGTTGAGAGAATAAGGGTACGTTTGGTTCTACAGAATTAGAATTGAATTAGAATTGAAATTCTATAGAATTAGAATTCTATGAATTGAAATTTCAAGTCATTTCAATTCTTTTGTTTGGGAAATGCATAGAATTGATACATAATTCATTTGAAATTTCAAATTCTTTGTTTGGATGGGAGAAGAATTCATTAAAAATTAGAATTGTTTCCAATTAATATTTCCTTACATAAAAAATTTCTTTTTTTTACTATATAATAATTTTTTAACATTTAGCTAATTGTTACTAAAGCTTTAAGGAAAAAACCAATTAGTGCCTTTAATAATTTATTTTTTCTTGCATTTAACGAATTGTTAATAAAGCTTTAAAAGAAAAAAAATTAGTTCTTTTTTTGCAAAAATAAAAAAATTCTTTTATTTTAAATTAAATTATATTAAATAAAAAATAATTGTATATTCTAACTTAAAAAGTAGTTAATATTTATCGAGTTAAAACCTTGATACTTTTTTAAAGTTAAGAACTTTAAATTTTAGAAAATCAAAAGCCTACTCTATGATATGAATTGGGAGGAAAGTCATAACTTGTACCTATTATAAATATTTGAGTTTTGTATCTTACAAGAAATTCCAATAGATGAATACGCAAACAAAGTATTTTTAGCCAAAAAAAAAAAGAGAAAGAAAAGCACAGTTATACATTGCTACTATTTTTCAATAAATGGCCATTCTAATATTAAATTAAGTTCGAATAAATTCCTATCAAATTTCAACTTCCATGATGGCCTTGTCTAATTTGATAGTCAATAAACATTGCTCGTGCTAAAGCATTCCTAAATTGTGTCCACTCGCTAGTTGGTTGTACTGTTCGAATTCGATTCTCGTTAATAGCATTTACACCACCATCATTATTTGGACCATCATCTTCCATTCCATTTTCCTCATCTTCATCTTCCATTTCATCTTCATCATCAACCTCATGTTGTACTCTTCGCATCTCAGCATCAACTTCATCCAAGTAAGGGTCATTTGGTTGTTCTACTCGAATAAGATTATGAAGGATGGCACATACATTAATTATCATGACATGAGTCTTAACATCAAAAAAAGATGCATCTCTCAAAATGGCCCACCGCTTCTTGAACAAACCAAATGTCCTTTCAATCACATTTCGAGCAATTGAATGTCGAAGGTTGAATAACTCTTTAAAATTTTGAGGCTTGCTCCCACTAGCAGACCACTCACTAAGATGATATCTAACTCCCCTATATGGAGCTAAGAAACCGGAGCTATTTGCATAACCCGCATCAACAAGAAAGTACTTGCCTGTAATGTTAGACAACAAATTATTACTCATTTATAGTTAAAAGAAAAAAAACACTTGATATCTAATTGTCACATACCCTTGGGAACAATTAATGGATCTGATCTAACTAATGCATCCCGTAGAACTCTACTATCTGCTGTAAAATCTTCCCATCCAGGCAATACATATGTAAATCTCATGTCACGGGAGCATACACCTAAAACATTTGTTGCTATCTCATTCTTCCTATTCCTATATCTTCCTTGATCTCTAAGAAGAACATGTACCTTAACATAAGTACTGTCTAACGCTCCAAGACAATCCTGTATTATAAACAAAATATCATAAGTTGATGAATCTTATAGATATTATCTTCATTAACAAATATCAAAAAATATTGATTACCTGAAACCATTCCCACTTTTCATGTTCGTAACCTTCCATTTCCGTTTCAGGCTGGATAAGATAGTGTCTCCCCAATTTTATGATAGCACATAGAACTATATTAAAGTATCGACTAACTGTCTCACCTGATCTTATGAAATTAAAATTGACAGTGCGATTCTTAAAGTTATGAGCAAGAACATAGAGAAACATTGCAACTGCTTCTTCAACAGTAATATTTCTAGTATCCCTCAACCCACAATGCTCTCTTAAATTTGTACATAAAACAGTAAAACAATGTTTATTGAGTCTAAGTTGCTCTACACAAACTCTATTGTTTCCATAGTAAAGACGCCTTAGATATATTTCACGTGCTACTTTAAAGTCCAAGAAAGGCTACTAATGTGGCTACTGTTACCATATAATTTGCAACTACCACTTTTCTCTTTTTAGTTTTTTGCTCGTCTCCTTCCTTATCCATGTCAATATCCAAATTCTGCAATTCAAAATCACGACAACAATAAGAAAAGGTAAGTCAAAAGACCAAATTTTAAAAAGTGAGTGTGTTAAATTCTACATAGTCAATTGAAGCTAAAATGATAGCTAATGAAACCTCTGACATAATAATCTGCAATAATATTTTTGCCTTTCCCGAAATATTACATTTACAGCTTGTGAATACAACTATTGACAGAAACAAATATATTGGCTTATACACCTTTAATACTTTAGAGATCGCTTAGGAATTAGCTACAATTTTGTAATTCATTAGTTTGTGCAAGTTGTTGGTAAACATAATTATTAGCTTCTGTGATTCATTGCTATGATCAGGTTAGTGTTTCGATTTGGTACTGCCCATTTTGCCTTGAAAAACAAGCTTGGGAAACTATTACACTCAATTCTGTGAGTTACAGAACAAAAGATTAATTATCTTCCCCTTGAAACTCCTCTATATATGTGTGTGTGTGTGTGAGATAAAGATAGCTATTTACAATTTCCTAACTAGCAATGAATTGCAGGGAAGGCCCAACTGTTACACCACATAAGCTTTAAAATATGCGTAACAATTGATTATATACAGAAACATACACCAAAGAACTGCAGGACAACTGTTCTAGTTAGTGTCAAAATTGAACCGTTATTACCAGGCTCAAGAGTTGAAACATGAAAGCCAGAGATAGAGCTATAATTTTCACATCAAAAACCTATTCACAGCATTCTAAGTGCTTGAAAATAAATACCTTTATAAAACCACAGATACAAGGAAGACTGAAGTGACGATCTTCAGCCTTTAAGCATGCCCAACTTCATGTCAGCCCACAACTTTGCTATCAAGAAGAATGCACCGACTTCACTTAAATGCAGGGCAAGGTTAAACAAGCCTTCCTGTAACATATTAGGAACAATCAAACACATTTAAATATACGCTAAGAGAGAGTGTGTGAGAGAATTTATGACAGCATTAAATAGTCCAAAACAAACATTCATCACATTCCATGTCCATTGACGAGAATTTAGCAGCCTTGAGCTGATACATAAAAGATTTTTCAGGCCCTGACAGCAAGTTTTTCAACAGCCACTGCAGTATAGAACTAAAAATTCCCTCTGTCAAAGTAAATTTGTGATTCCTTCTATGATTCTAGATACTAAGTTAAGAAGAGTAGAACTGGTTTTAAGAAGATTTTTTAATCTGACACTTGGTCATAACAGCCAACAGCCTTGGAGTGTGAACTGGAGACGTTATATACTTGATCATAACAGCCAACAGCCAACAAATTTATGCGTATTGGTGAAATAGATTTTGTTAATATAATACAAGTTTTAAAGAGATGAATTCTATCATATACGATAAAAGCAAAATTGATTTTTCATTTTCTTATGATTGCAGGAAGATAGTGTTACTGAAACGAACCTTCATTTTTTTTCACACAAACTGTTTATGCTTTATTAGGATGTGTTAAAACTTTTGTGAATATGAAGACTACTTCCTCGGTAAGAAAGTGAGTTCCAATTTGTTAGCTACTACTAAGAGCAAAGAATATGCAGTCTAAAAGGTTTAAGCTATGTTGATCTTTAAGTAAAGCATTTTTCACCTTTTTTTCTTAATATACATTTCAGCAGCCATTGACCAGGAAAGTTGATAATTAAGCTCTAAGGCTCAGAGAATTAAATTCAGCATTCCCTCATTTTCTCTCCTCAATCTCACACAACACACACACAAGAGAGAATTAATGGAGCAGATCCAACATTTCAGTCATGAGCATCCCTTGATATTGAGCAAACTCAAAGACGATGAATTCTCTGATGAGAAAATTAGTCGTTGCAGAGGCTGTTCACTTAAAATTTTGCCAGGCTCAACCTTTTATTCATCAATATCTAGGTATGTTCTTCATATTACACACCATCCACCATAAGAAACAAAAGGGATCACAAAATTCCAATCAAATACAAATCAACCAGAATTTCATTCAACAATTTACTTGTCTAAAGACAAAACAACACCAAAAATTCAACAAGAAAACACTAACAAAAAGGTTCCCTTTTCATATCATGATTAATCCTTTCAACTTTTACAGTATGAGCTCTCCAATTTTCATCAAAGTTCAAGGGAAAATAATCAATCAAGTGACAGTGGACAATCAGAGCAACAATGGAATACAAAAGTAATGATCAATGAATTTTGCCAAATTGGTAATGAAATTTCATTCTTCACTCGTCGAATCAATTCTCAATTGACAATGATGTGCTTAAGGAGATAACGTGTATCATAGCCAGAGGTGTGTGGGGTCGTATTGGTTCCTCATACTAAAACGTATAAATATCTCGTGATTTCAAATTTTATTGTCTTTAAATATATATTTGATATTATGCATTATTTATTTGAAAAAATGGATTTCTGTAAATTTAAGTTATTTGTGAAGATATTACCCTGTGCTTTATCATGCTCGCAAATTTTACGCTTGGAACAAGTACCAACTATGAAGTTCTTAATTAGACGCTGTGGAAAGATTAATAATTGTACTTTCAATCTATTTTCCAAAGGAGAAAGCCAAAGAAGAAATTTAGTCAATGCTCACCGAGATATAGTGCCCGACATCTTCCAATCATAGCAACCGCCATTAGCATCGTCTCTTATTTTTTCCAATCATAGTCAATGGATTGTAGGAATGAAAAGATTAACCTCTAAGTGAAACTTCATGTATAGGGGAATATCTGACTGTTTTGCTAGCAATACAAAATAAAAAACAATTGGTTGCGGCCAGATTATCTTTGCATTTTGTCCCTTGGTAAGTGTTTAGTTGTAAAACAAGACATATTGTACTAATGTTGGAATCTTATTGAGTTTGTGTAAGTGTGACTAAATATAATGTATATTGATGATATCTTGGCAATGAATACTCTTTCTCAACTCTTTTTGATGCTCCTTTTGTTCCCATCATGATTCTGTTGTTTGGTGATTTCTCAAATCATTTTCTTGGTTTTGTTCTTGTTCTAGCTTTTATTTGTTTAAGCTATCATGGGACATCTTTTTTTATTTTAACCCTTTTGATCATTTTTTCCTCATGCTAGATGGCTACCAAAGCACATAGAAATATGGTAATTTCTTCCTGACAAAGAAGAAAATGGTTGACTTAAGATATGCATGTTAGTAACTGTACTTCTTACTACAATTTAATTTGTTTGATTGAAGCGTTTATAAGGTTCCTAAGCAAGACACAGAGAGCATCATCCAGAAAGCTAATTCTTTTGACTTTTGAATCTTTGAATACCTGTGCATCATGGCTATGGTAAAAACTGGGTTCTAAATTTCTTTTTTGCTTTTCAAAATAGAAGAAAATTGTGCCCAAGATAAAGGTGCAAAGGTGCAACGGTTTATGCATAGGCGGTCTACTATGAGAGAGAGGTAGCCAACTATTTCACACTTTTGAATAGCATTTTATAGCTCAAGTAAGTGAAATTAAATTCTTGGCTTCTTGTTTTCGTAGTTTTGTATTAAAAAGTTTGATTATGCCCACAATGTGCTGCTTGCTTTAGTAAGATGTTTGGTGTGCTATGTAATTAAGTTTCTTAATCATTGACTTTAAAAATTTGGCTACTAAAATAAGCACAAAAATTTCTATGGTAGATTTAATATAAATTGGGAACCTAAGTGGCGTGCCACTTTTGCTGTTTCATTGGAGCACAAGGACTTGACAATTTACGAAGTGGTTTAACTAATTAAATAGCTGAAATGGTTTAAAAAATGTCTTTTTCAAAAAGGTGAAACATATTTAAATTGTAGCACTAAAGAAGTTGTCATTTTCTTTTTTTATACAGTATGTATTATACAAAGTTTTTTTTGCTTTCTTCTTTTCTCGAATTCAAGTAAGAACTTATATACAACCCATAAGTAATGACAAAAAGGTGCAAAATATTGGCTGATTGTTATCTTGTCCTTTTTTTGGGAGCACAAGTAGGAATGCAAAATTTCGTTTAAATCCATTTGACAAGTGTGCAGTTTCAAACCTTTAAACTGAGATATACAATTTTTATACTTAGTCTAACTCAACCAAATAAATAGTTGTGTATCTGCTTGGTGACTTTAAGTGTAGAGATGCTTTTATTATATTTGATGAAACAGGAATATGAAGCCTCCTTGCTGAGTTCTTACTTTATGTTATTTAAATAGTCAAAATTAGTTCAAAAAATAATATTTGCAAGTCTTCTATTCTACAAGTTCCTATATTCATTTCTTGATGTCTCTACCTTTTATGAATTCCAAAGAAATCGAACTTCTTTCGGCTTTTGGTGATTTTAATTCCAAGATTCAAAAATAGTTTTGAATAAGTTTCAACTGTTGCAGGTAAACAAGATTAAAGTGATAAATTAAAGTGATATTTTGGCCTCAAATGCCATTTTGAAAGGTATTAATACCTTTCTTTGTTGTTATCATGTGCCCAAAATATTTCCATTATATATCTATTTCATTTGCTTTATCATATCTCATTTGTTATGTCAATAAGGTTTTAAACTTGAGATAACGACTTGTTATCTTATCACAGACTGGAAGCATATGCAGTTTTTCACTCCCGATTGTGTTTGAGTCTTGTATCTCTTACTATTTACATTAAAAAAAGGAGCCTTCATGGGTGTTAGTAGTTGAGAGAATAAGGGTACGTTTGGTTCTACAGAATTAGAATTGAATTAGAATTGAAATTCTATAGAATTAGAATTCTATGAATTGAAATTTCAAGTCATTTCAATTCTTTTGTTTGGGAAATGCATAGAATTGATACATAATTCATTTGAAATTTCAAATTCTTTGTTTGGATGGGAGAAGAATTCATTAAAAATTAGAATTGTTTCCAATTAATATTTCCTTACATAAAAAATTTCTTTTTTTTACTATATAATAATTTTTTAACATTTAGCTAATTGTTACTAAAGCTTTAAGGAAAAAACCAATTAGTGCCTTTAATAATTTATTTTTTCTTGCATTTAACGAATTGTTAATAAAGCTTTAAAAGAAAAAAAATTAGTTCTTTTTTTGCAAAAATAAAAAAATTCTTTTATTTTAAATTAAATTATATTAAATAAAAAATAATTGTATATTCTAACTTAAAAAGTAGTTAATATTTATCGAGTTAAAACCTTGATACTTTTTTAAAGTTAAGAACTTTAAATTTTAGAAAATCAAAAGCCTACTCTATGATATGAATTGGGAGGAAAGTCATAACTTGTACCTATTATAAATATTTGAGTTTTGTATCTTACAAGAAATTCCAATAGATGAATACGCAAACAAAGTATTTTTAGCCAAAAAAAAAAAGAGAAAGAAAAGCACAGTTATACATTGCTACTATTTTTCAATAAATGGCCATTCTAATATTAAATTAAGTTCGAATAAATTCCTATCAAATTTCAACTTCCATGATGGCCTTGTCTAATTTGATAGTCAATAAACATTGCTCGTGCTAAAGCATTCCTAAATTGTGTCCACTCGCTAGTTGGTTGTACTGTTCGAATTCGATTCTCGTTAATAGCATTTACACCACCATCATTATTTGGACCATCATCTTCCATTCCATTTTCCTCATCTTCATCTTCCATTTCATCTTCATCATCAACCTCATGTTGTACTCTTCGCATCTCAGCATCAACTTCATCCAAGTAAGGGTCATTTGGTTGTTCTACTCGAATAAGATTATGAAGGATGGCACATACATTAATTATCATGACATGAGTCTTAACATCAAAAAAATATGCATCTCTCAAAATGGCCCACCGCTTCTTGAACAAACCAAATGTCCTTTCAATCACATTTCGAGCAATTGAATGTCGAAGGTTGAATAACTCTTTAAAATTTTGAGGCTTGCTCCCACTAGCAGACCACTCACTAAGATGATATCTAACTCCCCTATATGGAGCTAAGAAACCGGAGCTATTTGCATAACCCGCATCAACAAGAAAGTACTTGCCTGTAATGTTAGACAACAAATTATTACTCATTTATAGTTAAAAGAAAAAAAACACTTGATATCTAATTGTCACATACCCTTGGGAACAATTAATGGATCTGATCTAACTAATGCATCCCGTAGAACTCTACTATCTGCTGTAAAATCTTCCCATCCAGGCAATACATATGTAAATCTCATGTCACGGGAGCATACACCTAAAACATTTGTTGCTATCTCATTCTTCCTATTCCTATATCTTCCTTGATCTCTAAGAAGAACATGTACCTTAACATAAGTACTGTCTAACGCTCCAAGACAATCCTGTATTATAAACAAAATATCATAAGTTGATGAATCTTATAGATATTATCTTCATTAACAAATATCAAAAAATATTGATTACCTGAAACCATTCCCACTTTTCATGTTCGTAACCTTCCATTTCCGTTTCAGGCTGGATAAGATAGTGTCTCCCCAATTTTATGATAGCACATAGAACTATATTAAAGTATCGACTAACTGTCTCACCTGATCTTATGAAATTAAAATTGACAGTGCGATTCTTAAAGTTATGAGCAAGAACATAGAGAAACATTGCAACTGCTTCTTCAACAGTAATATTTCTAGTATCCCTCAACCCACAATGCTCTCTTAAATTTGTACATAAAACAGTAAAACAATGTTTATTGAGTCTAAGTTGCTCTACACAAACTCTATTGTTTCCATAGTAAAGACGCCTTAGATATATTTCACGTGCTACTTTAAAGTCCAAGAAAGGCTACTAATGTGGCTACTGTTACCATATAATTTGCAACTACCACTTTTCTCTTTTTAGTTTTTTGCTCGTCTCCTTCCTTATCCATGTCAATATCCAAATTCTACAATTCAAAATCACGACAACAATAAGAAAAGGTAAGTCAAAAGACCAAATTTTAAAAAGTGAGTGTGTTAAATTCTACATAGTCAATTGAAGCTAAAATGATAGCTAATGAAACCTCTGACATAATAATCTGCAATAATATTTTTGCCTTTCCCGAAATATTACATTTACAGCTTGTGAATACAACTATTGACAGAAACAAATATATTGGCTTATACACCTTTAATACTTTAGAGATCGCTTAGGAATTAGCTACAATTTTGTAATTCATTAGTTTGTGCAAGTTGTTGGTAAACATAATTATTAGCTTCTGTGATTCATTGCTATGATTAGGTTAGTGTTTCGATTTGGTACTGCCCATTTTGCCTTGAAAAACAAGCTTGGGAAACTATTACACTCAATTCTGTGAGTTACAGAACAAAAGATTAATTATCTTCCCCTTAAAACTCCTCTATATAAGTGTGTGTGTGTGTGTGAGATAAAGATAGCTATTTACAATTTCCTAACTAGCAATGAATTGCAGGGAAGGCCCAACTGTTACACCACATAAGCTTTAAAATATGCGTAACAATTGATTATATACAGAAACATACACCAAAGAACTGCAGGACAACTGTTCTAGTTAGTGTCAAAATTGAACCGTTATTACCAGGCTCAAGAGTTGAAACATGAAAGCCAGAGATAGAGCTATAATTTTCACATCAAAAACCTATTCACAGCATTCTAAGTGCTTGAAAATAAATACCTTTATAAAACCACAGATACAAGGAAGACTGAAGTGACGATCTTCAGCCTTTAAGCATACCCAACTTCATATCAGCCCACAACTTTGCTATCAAGAAGAATGCACCGACTTCACTTAAATGCAAGGCAAAGTTAAACAAGCCTTCCTGTAACATATTAGGAACAATCAAACACATTTAAATATACGCTAAGAGAGAGTGTGTGAGAGAATTTATGACAACATTAAATAGTCCAAAACAAACATTCATCACATTCCATGTCCATTGACGAGAATTTAGCAGCCTTGAGCTGATACATAAAAGATTTTTCAGGCCCTAACAGCAAGTTTTTCAACAGCCACTGCAGTATAGAACTAAAAATTCGCTCTGTCAAAGTAAATTTGTGATTCCTTCTATGATTCTAGATACTAAGTTAAGAAGAGTAGAACTGGTTTTAAGAAGATTTTTTAATCTGACACTTGGTCATAACAGCCAACAGCCTTGGAGTGTGAACTGGAGACGTTATATACTTGATCATAACAGCCAACAGCCAACAAATTTATGCGTATTGGTGAAATAGATTTTGTTAATATAATACAAGTTTTAAAGAGATGAATTCTATCATATACGATAAAAGCAAAATTGATTTTTCATTTTCTTATGATTGCAGGAAGATAGTGTTACTGAAACGAACCTTCATTTTTTTTCACACAAACTGTTTATGCTTTATTAGGATGTGTTAAAACTTTTGTGAATATGAAGACTACTTCCTCGGTAAGAAAGTGAGTTCCAATTTGTTAGCTACTACTAAGAGCAAAGAATATGCAGTCTAAAAGGTTTAAGCTATGTTGATCTTTAAGTAAAGCATTTTTCACCTTTTTTTCTTAATATACATTTCAGCAGCCATTGACCAGGAAAGTTGATAATTAAGCTCTAAGGCTCAGAGAATTAAATTCAGCATTCCCTCATTTTCTCTCCTCAATCTCACACAACACACACACAAGAGAGAATTAATGGAGCAGATCCAACATTTCAGTCATGAGCATCCCTTGATATTGAGCAAACTCAAAGACGATGAATTCTCTGATGAGAAAATTAGTCGTTGCAGAGGCTGTTCACTTAAAATTTTGCCAGGCTCAACCTTTTATTCATCAATATCTAGGTATGTTCTTCATATTACACACCATCCACCATAAGAAACAAAAGGGATCACAAAATTCCAATCAAATACAAATCAACCAGAATTTCATTCAACAATTTACTTGTCTAAAGACAAAACAACACCAAAAATTCAACAAGAAAACACTAACAAAAAGGTTCCCTTTTCATATCATGATTAATCCTTTCAACTTTTACAGTATGAGCTCTCCAATTTTCATCAAAGTTCAAGGGAAAATAATCAATCAAGTGACAGTGGACAATCAGAGCAACAATGGAATACAAAAGTAATGATCAATGAATTTTGCCAAATTGGTAATGAAATTTCATTCTTCACTCGTCGAATCAATTCTCAATTCATTCACTAAAAGAGAAGGGGAAGGCTGACAGAAACTAATTAAAACCCCATAATTTCAACCTGTGTTATGCAGTGGCCAGCACAAGTGGAGGAGGCGGCAGCAGGAATGCTCCAACAGAGCATTAGATATGGCGATCGATAATGGGAAGAGAAGAGAGACGTTTGAGTTTTTTCCATCAATTTTATAGTTGACCAATTTTTGAGATTTTACCTGTAAAAGACCCGCGTATTGACCCGATTTAAGAGTTCAAGCGTGGAATTGGAATTGGAATTCTTTGGTCCAGCCAAAGAATTGAAACTACGGAATTCGATGTATTTAGAATTGCAATTCAATTCTAATTCTATAGGAAAAATAATACCCCAACACAAGAATTGAAATTGAGGTTTCAATTCCAATTCTATGGAGAACCAAACGTGGGCATTTCATAGCCTTTTTGTATTTTTATAATTTATACCTTTTGGAACATTAAGAATGTTGTGCTGATACTGCTTTCTAATGGTAAAATCTGGTGGAGAAAGAAATCCAGCAAGTCCTGTAACTTACAATTATACTTTTCGTTTTGTTTTTAAATGAGAGTCCATTTCCTCAA